TGTAGGAGAGTACAGCATAGCATGCTCTATGGTTGTAAATACATTTTGAAATAAATTCTAATAAATGAGCCGTGCCATGTCTCCTTTAGATTTATATGTGAGTAGAGGGTTCCCCTGGGGCCATCAGTGGCTGCATGATAATTAGGGTGTGTGCTTAACTTTATTAATGATAACAAATCTCTCGAGTGGGAACATAGGCTGCAACAAAACACATTTGCAATGAAACATGGAAAGTTTAGAACCTCTGTCAGGTTATTTTTACCATCTGTTACTTCCTGTTCTTGTGACAACTTCTCTACTTATTTGTTGTCCTGCTGTCACAGGAGAATAGGAAATAAAGTTAAAGAAGAAGTCTAGGTATAGATTTTTTACATATTTACATTGGTCCAACTTGGATATACCATTATGTGGGATCCCCCTAGGAGCTGCAAATCACTGTAGTAGACACTGCGACATTCAGTGATCTCTACTAGCTTCCAGGTCTCTTGCCGAGTGTCTGCTCTGCTGCATTGTGAGCACAGGAGGTCAGCATGAATGCCATTTAGACAGTGCTTTGCATTCTCTGATTGGACAAGGGGGAGAGAGTGTTGTCACCACCCCACTTCTCCACTTCATCCAATCAGAGAATGCTAGTGTAGATCACTGTAGTAGCAGTGTCTCCTACAGTGATTTCCAGCTTCTAGATAGAGCCCACAGTTATGGCATATGCAACGTTACAGTGGTCCAAGCCTTACCTGGATATCGTCTTTAACCTCCCTGGCGGTATTCCCAAGTGTAGCTCGGGGTAAAGTTTCAGCACCACAAGCGGTAACCCCGAGATACACTCGGGAATACCCTGCAGCGCTGCTCCGGGATCTGTTCTTCTCTTACCTTGTCCTGCGCTCCCGCGATGTCCCTCCTGCAGCGTCCCCTGAAATGTTCTCCGGCAGATGCCAGCATCTGTCTTCTGGGTTCCGTTCCCTGCGACATCAGGACGTACAGGGGACGGAAGTGGCGGGAAATTTGAAAGTTGTAAAAGTGACATTCACTAAAATCACATAGTAAAACATTACTGTATCAAACCATTTCACATACATTTTGTCCAGGGGCGGACTGACCATTTGGAAACTTGGGCACTTCCCAAGGGCCCGGGGTCAGTAGGGGGCCCCATGAGATGCCCCTGGTACCTTTTTTATAGGCTTTTTTGAGTTTGGGCAAGGACACAGGGGCCCCATGATCCCCTATTGCCTGGGGGCCCCATGAGTTGTCAGTCCTCCCCTGATTTTGTCCCTAGTGCTTTGTCCTGTGCCCTGCCTGCATTTTTACTGTTCTTTCTGCCTGGAAACTGAGAAATGTCCATGGCGTCCAAAAAGCGTCCCTTTAGGTCAAAAGCAGTTTTAGACCAGCTAGAGAACAGCGATAGTAAATCAGAACCACTTGCAGAATTGAGTGATAATGATTTGTGGGGAAATTCGTCATCAGACGCTGAAAACAATTTTGCGACTTTGCTCAGTGATGTGCGAACTTGGCGCTATATTTCAAATTTCAGTGTTTTTGGTTTGATTATATTATTGAATTAAATTTATTATTATGTTTATTATTATTTTTTATGATTATTTATTAAATTATAATTTATGATTTCGTGTTTCAAATTTAACATACCTGGGATGTTTACTAGACTCTTGTTCGGACAGATTTCAGTGAGTTATTCCTAAAAATTACAGGCTTACAGTAAAAAAAAATACATATTTCAATGCAAAAAAAATGTACCGCTTTGAGCACAGAAATATGAACATAATCAGACCGCTAGGTTAAATCTCATCAACTGTCTTATAGACAGCAATAAAATGAGACAGAAGTATTTACTTTTTACAAGTCTTTCCAAATCTGAACAAAGTTTTAGCTTTGGGCTAAAGTTTTAGCTGGGTTGTCTCGCCTCGAGTCTTTTGGCCAAGGAACAACCCTTGGCAGCCTCTTTATCTGCAGCCCACTCTGGAATGGTGACAACTTGTTCTTTATCAATGGCATGAGGCCAGTTAATTCTGTAATTTGAGTTCTCAGAGGTCTGAACTGATCCTATAGTTAATAAAGGCTGCACCAACCATATATTCACAGTACTGAGCTCAGAATAAGTAGCCAGATGACTGCCTAGTAGCAGCTGCTGGAAGAAAGCCAACTAGGCTTAGAGGCTTGTGATACTTGTGTGCAGCAGATCTATAAGACACAACACATTTTAATACAGCAGTCAATTTAGCAAGGAACTTAATGACATTAAAAGTGGCATAATATAAGGACTTGTTTTCTTTCTGCTCATTTCAATCAAACTTAAATATTTAGAATTAAAAAAAAAAAAGAACTACAGATGAAATAGCCTTCCTTTTCATAGCTGGCATTTATTGGACCAAACAGCTTACTAAAGGCAAATAGACTCTTCACTCTGCTCTGCTGACTTTCATTATCATGTCATGCGAAGGCAAAAATATTGTTTTTTTTATTATACTTGTATGCAATTGGGTATTCTTTCCAAAGTGACATTTCACCACATTTAATAAGCTCTGGGGAAAATGTATTTGCAAAGTGAACAGCTTAGTTGCCTTTAGTAAAACAACCCCACTGTGTAATATCCTTTGATTACTAATAACCTGCTGCCATCGGGAACACCAAATCGCTTAAATGCTGTAATAATATCTCAAAGTTATATGCTCAGTGAAAATACAATGGGGGGCATTTACTATTAATGAAGCAGAAAGGATGTGCTAGTTTTGATAAATTCTTCTCAATATCTCTTTGGATCTGAGTAAAACTATAATATAAGTGTAAGAATGGATCCTGGACAGACCGGTAAAAAAACTAAAGACCCCGAAGGACTGTGTATAACACTATGGGTCATGGGCATAGCATCGGGGGTCTCAGGGGTCACAATTGTGACCCTGCTCATGCTCCAGGGGGTCCTGTCCTGTCACTATAATGGGGAAAGCGGAATCCGGAGCAAAGAGGAGGCTCTGGGCTCTGAGCTTTTGGCTCCATTTTCAAGTCCTGAGCTGGAGAGTAGCAGAGGAAAGACGGGGTGAGACCAGCCCTGCTGGATGGGAAAGTGTCAGTGCTGACAACCAGGATGGACACCGAGCTTTCACTGGGCTGAGTGAGGGAGGAAGAGGAGAGCACCGTCCAGGAGCTGGTACTGCTGTCATTGGGGAGGTAAAAAGATACCGGTCGGATCCATGCAGAGAACAGACACACAGTGCTCCACCCCTCCCCACAACGTCTGCTGACATTCACACAAAAATTCTCAAAAAATCCTGTAGCACCTCCCGAGGGGCCCCTGAGTGCTGTGGGCTCCAGAGGCTGCAGATTTTACTGTGACAGTTTGATCAGGATGAGCAGAGGGGGAGCTGGATGGGGAATCTGTCATTTTCAGCATGGGGGGAGGGAATAATGTGACATTATCAGAATGATGGGGGGGGGGGATTAGTAATTCCCTGGGGGGTCATGTGTCATTATTAGGAAGAGGGCACCTGAAGGTGAGGGTCATATTTTATTATCTGGAGGGGAAGGGGGTCATCTGTAATTACCTGGTGGGGGAGGGCATATCTGTCATTAACTGGTGGGAGAGGGAGTATCTGTCATTACCTGTTGGGAAAGTGGGGTCATCTGTCATTACCTGGTGGGAGGGGGGGTCATTTGTTATTACCTGGTGGGGGAGACAGGGGTCATCTGTCATTACCTGCTAGGGGGGGGGTCATCTATCATTACCTGGCGGGTAAAGGGTCATCTGTCATTACCTGGCGGGTGAGGGGTCATCTGTCATTACCTGGTGGGGAAGAGGGGGGTCATCTGTAATTACCTGGTGGGGGAGGGTGGCTCATCTGTCATTACCCAGGGGGGCTATGATCATTTGTCAATACCTGGTGGGGGGAGGGTGGCTCATCTGTCATTACCTGGGGGGGGTCATCTGTCATTACCTGGGGGGGGGAGTCATCTGTCATTACCTGGTGAGGGGACGTGTGTCATTACCAGGAGATGAAGTCATCTGTCTTTACAGGAGGAGGGGGTCATCTATGATTAGCTGAAGTGGGGGGCTCTTGAAGTAGGGATCATCTGTCAATACCAAGAGGAGCCAGGAAGGGGGGTTGTTACCTTTCCCTGCACTTCCATATTACTGCAGCCTAGCCATGAGAGAGGTAACTGGGTGCTGTTTAATAACATATAAAAGAAAGGGTTTTTTTTTGTAAAAGGTGTGATATCTGCAGTGGCACACTCTCTGATCAGTCCCCCACCCAGTCCAGTCTAGTACCCCCCTCCCACCTCTGCTCAGCCCTGCACGTGCACACAAGTTGGGAGCAGGTAGGACACACTGTGAGCTGCTGGGTGAAAGGGGTGGGCTTTTTTGTGGATCTGGAAGTCAAAGGACCTGCTGAGTTTCCTCTTTTACATACAAACCTAACGCTTTCACCCGACAGCTCAGAGTGTGGCCTGTCTGCCCCCACCTTGTGTGCACGTGCAGATGGCAGCAGGAGAGAGAGAAGAGAGAGAAGGCCACCATACAACTATCATATCTTGGCGCACGGTGGGAGCATCATGGCACACTGTGAAAAGTAGTGGGGGGCCCAGGTCAACTTTTGCATCGGGGCCCACAAGCTTCAAGCTACGCCTCTGCTAGGGGTTCAATATGCCCAGAGCAGTGACTGCCGAGCATCTTACAATTTGTTGGAGAACATTGTTTTTTTGTCATTGCAAAGCTGGAGTTCTTGTGTCTAAATTGTATCTGCAATCTGAGCAATGGGTCGATCAAATGCCTGTATTCACAGTCCCATTTAGTGTAAGCTTCTTGCTATCTTTCACAGAAATTGCCAAGCAGAGGATCACATGACCAGAAGCTGTAGACTCCTCAATATCATCTTTCCACGTCTAATTCTGTTCATATACAAAGCAAGTCAAATTACGTGCAGCAAGTTTTTGATCCCATACAAAAGAATAGGGCTGACAAGTATACATTTCATAAAACTTTGGTGTTTCCAACCTATAACGCATATCAGAGTACAAAAGAATAGGGCCGACAGGTACATCATGCCATAAAACTTGGGTGTTTCCCACCATTAAAATAAAAATCTAAAAGACGCAAAATGTTGTCCTGTGCACCATGTCTTCCTTCTCTGTTCATAAGAAAGAACTCAGGGAACACCTTGAAAAGTATACCTTGGAGCTCATTACATTTCTACGTGACAAAACAGCACATTGTATGAGGTGTGTATATAAATGGTCTAGTGTGTTAACCCATTTAGACAAAGAATGAGTATGAAATTGCTTTGAACCTTATGGGGTTGATTTGCTAAAACTGGAGAGTGCAAAATCTGGTGCAGCTCTGCATAGAAACCAATCAGCTTCCAGGTTTTTTTTGTCACAGCTTGATTGAACAAGTTGAAGTTAGAAGCTGATTGGCTACCATGCACAGCTGCACCAAATTTTGCACTCTCCAATTTTAGTAAATCAACCTCAATGTGTCTTCTCTTTCTTCTGTACCTTCATAGCACACTCGATATCAAGATCTGGATTCAATTAGATGCAGGAAACGTACAGGTGCTGGTTATACTGGAAGTGGTGGTCGCACAAAATGCACACATGTGTCTTCTCAAGTTCACATTACATATTGCGCTTTGATGAAGAATCAGTTTAGTCTGTCCAATGCTGGCATATGTAAAAATAGAACTCAAATGAAAAACATTTCCCGCACTCCGGTCAGGTATGCAACTTCTCCCCCGTGTAAGATCTCTGATGTGTGTGAAGATTAAGCTTCACTGAAAAGTATTCCCCACACTCAGGACAGACATATGGATTTTCATCTGTGTTAGATCTCTGATATATGTAAAGTCTAGTTTTGTCTGAGAAAGCATTTCCCGCACTTAGAACAGGGATATAGCATCTTCTTCGTGTGAGGTCTCTGATATATATGCAGACTGGACTTCTGTGAAAAACATTTCCCTCACTCTGAACATGGGTATGGCTGGTCCCTCTTGTATTATCACATTTTCCACACTCGAATCAGGAATACTTCTCCCCCATGTGAAATCTCTGGTTTCTATTGGATTGAGCTTCTCTGAGAGACTTTCCCGCACTTTAGGACAACTCTTCCTTTACTCCAAGTGAGGGGTAAGGCGGCTCCAGGCACTCTCTTCTGGGGAACATTGCACTCGACATTCCCCTCACACAATGAGTGGATTGCAGGGGGGGGGGGGGGGGGGGGGGCTCACCCAGCCTTTTTCCGTGTGTCTCCAGCTGCCATGGTCTTGTGTGCAGGAGGAAGAGAGCCGGTGTCTCCCTTACGCCAAGAAACGCCAACCGGGCTCCTCTGCCTCCCAGAGTTCCCTTGCGGCAGATCGCCTGGCGTCCACTGAGCTCTGGGGAACACACAGCGCCAGGCTGAGAGCACAGGAAGACCCTGCCGTGATGGCCGCCACTCCCAGAGGTCATCGGTCCACGTACCCCGCCAGGCAAGCCCCCTTCTCCCGCACATCTCTCCCCTTCTCGGCAGGACACTGGAGGTGCTTGGGAGCCCTCACATTGAGCTTCCACTCCAACCCATGATTAGGCTCAGGGGCGGACTGACCATTTGGAAACTCGGGCACTGCCCGAGGGCCCGGTGTCAGTAGGGGGCCCCATGAGATGTCCCTGGTACCTTTTTCATAGACTTTTTTGAGTTTGGGCAAGGACACAAGGGCCCCATGATCCCTTATTGCCCAGGGGCCCCATGAGTTGTCAGTCCGCCCCTGATCAGGCTCCTTCCTCCAGTGGGTGTCGCCTCCTTGTCAAGCCGACCTGGACATCAGTCTGTCCAATGCTAACACACAAATCATTTAATTTTTTGTGATACAATTTCTTTACAAAAAAACATCACAGAACCCCTTGTTCTGGCACTGATCACACAATTGTCCAGCCAATGGAATTTAAGCCCACTGGGTTATTGGGCTTGGGTGCTTTACCCAGAACCCCACAATCCAATTTTCAAGCATTCCACTCCCATAGACCAATAAAGGCAGTCTAGGGACTTTTCAGAGTAGAATAGGATAAGGCAGGTATGAAATAATCAACTTGTCCTCGTATTCATTGTCCATTGAAGAGATACAGGTCCTTCGCTTAGACCTTAGTTTTTGCCCATATCAAAATACTGACAACCTCAAGCTTATTAAAGATCTGGATTTGTTTGCCCACGGGTTTATTTTCAATGTCCTACATGACATAGATCATCATAATTTCAAATCAATATCCTATAATAATTAATTATGGAATGGCTTCAACCAGGGGCGGACTGACAATTTGGAAACTCAGGCACTGCCCGAGGGCCCGGGGTCAATAGACAATAGGGCCCATGAGATGCCCCTGGTACCTTTTTCATAGGCTTTTTTGAGTTTGGGCAAGGACACAGGGGCCCTATGATCCCCTATTGCCCGGGGGCCCCATGAGTTGTCAGTCCGCCCCTGGCTTCAACATTAATGACTTTTGAGTCCTCAGGGATTTGATGCAAATTCTAGAGGAAAACTAGAACTCATGGCCGGTGAAATGGACTGCAAGGAGGACAGTACGGGATCAAGGAACAGGTAAGTGTCTGTTTTTTAAAAGTCAGCAGCTACAGTTTTTGCAGCTGCTGACTTTTATTTTTCACTGGAACTCCACTTTAACTATGGATAGTGCTTCTTCATTTTTAAATACCTTCTATCATAAACCAACTACAGGAAATTCAATTCTACACTCTGTAGTGCTCATCCCACATCTTTATTTAAATGTATTCCATATAATCAATATCTCTGCATCAGATGCAGGAAGCTAGTGATAGAAGTGATAGAAGAAGTGCCTGTGACAGGTCCAGTGGCTCATATTAACTCTTCACAGCACAAAAGATCACCAGTGCAGAAGTGGGGGGCAGAGAAATGAAGTAGCCACCAACACAAGGGACTTTTTCCATTCAATGTAAGTAGTGTCCCTGTTGAAGATGCAATAAAGATAAATAAATAGATAAATAAAAAAATAATAATATATATATATATATATATATATATATATATATATATATATATATATATAGTATAATTCATGAAACTTAAGCTTTAAGTAATCATACCAATATCACCTCCATATAAAGTTAAATATATACAATGTTTAGCAGTTGGCTGCATTAAGCCTTTTTATCTTTTTGCAGTTTAAAGCTGGTTGATAGTGATTATATTTGTGAACAAAATGGTGCTGTTATGCTGTAAACTTTGAAATTCAGTAACCAGTTGATGACAAGCAATATTTACTAGAGTATATATTGATTCTAATAGGGTAATGTGCTGTTTAGCCCCAAAAGCCAAGCATTGGCCATATTTACTTTAACATCAAAGTGAGAATTTTCTGTGCATGCCCAAATTCTTAGGCAATCTGAGTGGCATGTAGTAAGTTTGAACAATACTGCAAACACTGAGATGGTCTTATACAACTGGCAAAGGTTGTATACACCACTAATGTAAGGGAAACCAACATCCAAAAATAGATTTTTATTTAAAAGGGCCCTCAATTTGTTAAATATTGTTGATTCAATACATTTAACTTAAAAACAATTTTCAGGTCTGTATCATTTTAGTTTCACCTGTACCAAATCAGTATCATGGAAACCACATTTATAATTACAAATTACAATTTATTATATTATATTGTGCTGAGCAAACAAAAAAAATATCCTTGAGGTTTCCAAACCAGCTGCGGTGAAACTTTTATTCTGCAGCTGCGATAAATTGTTGAAAAGAGATTTTGCAAACATCTGCAGACATCAGTGTAAGGATGAGCAGCTTTGGAATATAAATTGACATACATCAGGGTGACATCTAGTGGACAAAAAGGAGTACTGCTAACAACATTTAATTAGATATCCAGAATATATCAAATGTATAACAAAGTGGGAGCAACTGGGAACAACAGCATCTCAGCCGCAAAGTGGTAGGCCATGTAAAGTGACAAAGTGGGATCAGCACATGCTGAAGTGCACAATGCGCGGAAATCACCAACTGTCTGCAGAGTCAATAGCTAAAGACCTCCAAAGGTCATGTGGCCTTCAGATTAGCACAACAACAGTGTGTAGAGAGCTTCATGAAATGGGTTTCCATGGCCAAGCAGCTGCATCCAAGCCTTACATCACCAAGTGCAATGCAAAGCGTCAGATGCAGTGGTGTAAAGCACGCCATCACATGATGAATAGTGCTTCCCCTCCCCCTCGTCCCCAAGCAGGTGGAACCTGACTCAAGAGACAATCAGCGTAAATATTCATATGCAAGTATTATACATATGCAAACCATTCCGTGGATGCGTTCCAAAAGATAATCTGTTAATCCCCTCCACAGAAGAGGTATAAGGAACATACAATGCCAGACAATTATTGTATAGTGTAAATACGTTCCTTTCAATATCCAGCCAGTGTCTCATATGTGTCTGTGCACAAAGTCTTCTAAATGTGGCTCCTTTCCAGCCACTATGTTACATTAAACCGCCCACTGTATGTGTCTCCTCAATGGCTCCCTGCTCAACACAAATGATAATATACAGAACATATGCCATACCTGGCTGATGCCCCTGGAAGATGGAAAGCACTGAAACAGACAACTCTACTCCAGTGATCTCCACTTGCTTTTGGGTCCCATCCTGAGTGGCTGGCATGATGCATTGTGAATACAGGAGGACAATTAACACTGCCTGCCTCTCTGCCTTGTCCAATTAGAGAACAATGCAAAGCATTCTCTGAATGGCACCTGAGCCAAATGGCTGACCTATGTTCACAATGCATCAGTCCCGCAGTTCAACATGGGACCCAGAAGCTAGTCTTACAAGACTCTTTCAGATCAGGAGACAGCCCCAATAAAGTTTAGCGATTGAACCAATTTAGGTAAGTATACATCTGTGGAGGAAAGGGGTTTCCTTCCTCTAGCTCTGGTTGGGATTGGAGAGATGCCATAAGGATAACTGGCCTGAAGCACAGAGGAAATCACCATAAGGAAATCAAGGAGATTTAGGCAGGTGACCAGCACAGCTCGAGGAGCAGTCATTCTATTAGGCAGCAAAGTAGAAAGTGCGATAATAGTCACTCAATGACTTCCTGGTTAGATGGCCAGGGTAAACACAGGGGGAGCCTCTGCCATGGACTCAGGGCACCATCTTGGA